AGAGAGAGAAATAACTTTAATATTATAATTATAAGTGGCGGAGTCGGGCTCCAATTTGAGTTTGGGCTAAAAAATTATATGTATATTTATTTTTCTTAATTTTAGTTAGTTTATATCATAATATATACAAAGCACCTGAGCAAACAACACCAAGAAGAGTTATAATTTTATTATATATTTTTTAATTTTACTAAAAAAAAAATTATACAAGTGAAAATTGAACACATAACCTAATACAACTTACCCAAATCTTTCACCAAAAATATTTTAAGTTTTAGACAGGACCAAATTATAAATTGTAGCTCAGGCTAAATTATAATTTTAACTTAGGACAAATTATAATTAATTATATAAATAAGTATAGTTTGTTAAAATTTAAGCCGGGCGGAGGCCACACCCAACTTATATGTGGCTCCGCCACTGATAATTATGTACCGAAGTATATAGTTATAAAGAGATGACAGGAAAAATCTTACATCTTACAACATGACATCTGATTGACCCTATCTTTGATTAACCAAGAAATGATAAATAAGTAAAAATAAAATAAAAATAATTTAATATAAAAGATTAATAGCCCGAAATATGTTTTGGTGCATTATAACTCATAATATGACTATATGTAAATGAATAAAAGTTATTTAGTGTGTTTTTTAAATTATCTTTTAAATCGTTGTAATAGCATGACAATCAGGAAACTGTATTCATTGTTCTATTAATTTTTTAATGGATGTTATTAATCTCATATTAAAAGAAATAAATTATTTTATGTCATAGAGATAAAGTTGTAGCTCCAGTATTTGTAAAAAATAAAATAAAATAAAGAACTCATGGGACCTATCTTTTTATTAGTGTAGAAGAGAGAACATTGCCTCCTTTAACATAAAAAAAAAAAAAATTCCTTTTTAAAAATTATTTAATGTATGTAGTGAAATAAAAAACATTTATAATATATCAATAATTAATAATTCCTCACACAATTTTCTATTAAAGTACTTTAAGTTGTAGTTTATATATTCTCCTATATAAATTACCAGACTATATGGAGTGGTTAAAACGAGAATAATATTTCATTTACAAAAACTTTTTACACATACTTTACAATACATACATCTTATTCTTGCCATTTATTTTTCTCGTTCTGTTGGCTCCGCTGTCAATGACTTTTTTTTATAACTCTGGGCCTTAATATTGACCGTGCATGTAGTTTTTTTTTTTTTTTCCCCTTAAAAAAGACATGAGTTTTCTTTGATATACAATAGTATTTCCATGCCCGTAAATTATTGGACGCTGGGACCATATCTCAAATCGAAAACTGATGGACAATCTCTATTAAACAACAAAGCCAGGCATCATATATTCTAGTTCATGGTAGCTGGATCAAACTTAATTGTAGTTCCTCAAAACGAAATATAATTCCCAATAGTTATAATTTTCCTTTTAAAAAAAATATCATCAAACCTACCGAGTTAAAACTCAAAAAAATTTGACATGCTTAAAAGGCAATGTGTTCAAATTTTCAGAGTCTCAACTCCTTGTAGAGGCACAAAATATATAGGATTAGTGGAATCCATTATGATTTTGAAAACTGATTAATATTTATTAAAAAAAAATTAACCCAAAAATTATAGGTCTAATGGTATCTTTGTTAGATCATAAAATTTGACCTATTCCAATTAGAGTTTAATTCTTGAGAATCACAACTCTTGGAATGGTGAATAGACTTAAACCCGAAATTAAATTAGTAGGATTTATATGGATTTTCGACACCAGTTGATATCTAAACAAAGCTTAAAAAAAAAAACGACCAATAAAATCAAATACTTCCAACAAGTTAAAACAAAATAAATAGATAATATCATATGAAGTAATGCAGATTGGAGTGGGACAAAGGACAGGCTGTGAGAGGAGAGACTGCTCAAGAGTTGCACATGGATAGAGTATCTAGAACTCAGAATTACAGATATAAATCCAAGCTAAAGCTTAAATAGAAAAGTGCAAAGAAATGCAGGTGAATACAATATCAAACTTAAAAACATACCAGAGAAGGAAAGTGTATGTACGGGACGTTATAGAAAGAGAGAAGTTCGTAGGCAAAACACACACAGTGTAGCACATGTGGTGGGTGAAAAAAAAGTGAAACTTGGATTGGAAGAGAGAGAGAGAAATGATAAGGGCGTCCCAGAAAGGGAAACCAAAAGAGTAGTTTAATTGTCTGAGTGAATGATGAAAGCGATCTAACAATTGAGGGCACAACGTGCATATTAGGACCAGTGCCTCCTCACCCAAGTCTCAGTCTCAGTCCCAGTCACCATCACCCATCCCTCCGTATATATGTGCATAGATTATTGTTTCTGAACATTATAGCAGATAATTTTATTTTCTACACATATAAAAAAATGTTGAATCTATATAAAGTGAAAATGATAACATGGATTCCACGCAATTTTATGTATAACATTAATCTCATTTACTATAGCATCAAATATAAACACAAACCCAAACACATATCACACTGGTTAGTTATTATTATAAAAAAAAGGAAAAAAAAAAACGAGAGAAAAAAAAACTTTTGTTTGTATTGCAAAAGTAATTAAAGTAGTTCCAATAATTTTTCAACCGTTCCAAAAATCCCATATATAGAAACACGCATCTTAAAAGGAATAAAAGGTGGTCTCAAACCATCCCTTTAATTTGCTTGATTGCTTTACTCTTTTTTATTCTCATTTTTTATTCTTACCCAAGATGTTGTGTTGCGCTTGGTATGGTATAATCATGCTATGTTAATTTTGTTTTCTTACATCCTTTCTCTATTTGACTTAAAAACTTTATGCATCTTAGGGTAAAACTTAAAAAAAAAAATGGAAAATAAGAGGGCAATGAAAGAGAGGAGAGAAACTGAAAGAGAAATAACCTTTCTGGGTGGTTTTTTGGGGATAAATGATCCTGTTGAATCGTCGATGCAATTTATAAAAAGAAATATATATAATAATATTATTTTTAAATATAATATCAATTTAATGCAATGAGTCTTGTACCCAATTTATATGATACTGCATACGTCGCAAATGAAAAAGGGTTAGAAATTTATTTTGAATAAAATTAACCGCGGGATAGAAACCTGCTGTATTAGATTAGAGTGATATTATCTTTACAAATTGCATTATTTGAGGAAAAAAAATCAAAATGGCTTCAGTTTGGTCTTTTCGTGTTTCGTAGATCCGATTCAAAGTAAAAGGATCTATAGAGAGGGACTGCTTTAACCTAATGAGCAATGAATAAAGTAGTCCTACTATGTACTCTCTCCATTCTTCAATTTACTAGCTTTGTTTTCTTCTTCCCTTCACACAGAATCAAGTCCCGTAGCATCAATTTTTTGGACCACTGAACCTTTTGTTAACCTATATATCCAGACTCTCATGGCTTTTTTCTCCATTTTCCAGTAAGTGTAAAACGCAATATGTAAAACTTCAATATGTATAAAAAATTATGGTAACTAAATTGGCGTCAGGAAACTGAGCAGGTGAAAGTGAAATTATGTATTTGATCATCTTCAATATCGTTTTTGAAAGAAATTTAAATTCTTAATCTCACAATACATCCCAAATCGAACTAGTTACCAAACAATAAATTGATTGAAAAAAAAAAAAAAAACCTTCAACATGTTGTGCCGCCCAAAGATAAAAACGTCGACAGGTATATTCATTTCTATATATGGCATAGATTTGGACCCGCTTCTCCCGAAATATCTACGATGACGCTCGAGATGATGGAAGCACATACTCTCTACTTTTTAAAATTCATTCCCCCAACTAACAGTATCTGGAAAACAAATGGGTTGGATGATTATTTTTACATTATACTAGTATTATTGCAGCCAACGAGAACATAATTTAAGATTTTGTTCGTCAAATGAAAGGTGTGATGCCGCATGTTTCTATTTAAATGACTAGTGGATTACATAATTTCAAAAATATCTACGGTGACGCTCCTGATGACGGAAGCATATACTCTCTACTTTTTTTTTTAATTCATTAAACCAACTAACAACATAAAAAACAAATGTGTTGGATGATTATTCTTATACTATACTAGTATTATTGCAGTCAACGAGACGACAAAACTTAGGATTTGCTTCGTCAAATGAAAGGTGTCATGCTGCACGTTTCTATTTAAATTACAAGTAGGGATCACATAATTTTTTTTAAAATAAAGCCCATCCACTTGTGTTAACAAAAAAATTCCCCTTGCAGAAAAAGTTAAAGAATTTTAACCAGCACTCGTACAAGATCCAAATAACAAAGATTTATCATCAAATGTCGAGACCGGTTCATTACCGATTCAGATGATGTTCCCTCACATACTCACAAGTGTAGAATCGTTGAACCCAACCAATCCACTAACCAATAAATCAATTACTCCACTGCTCTGTCCTCCCCTAAAGGTACAATTCCATAAATTATGGCCTAACTCCTGTTTCTTCAGTTAATAAAAACATTGTTATTAGGTACTTAATTTTCTTTCTAGTAAAAGTTAAAACTGACACGGGGCTTAAACACCCTAAGCGAACCAGCCCCCTAGCCATTTATACCCTTTTTGTCGCTTCCTTTTCTCTCTCTCACTCCATGTATCAGTGTCCTTTTGAAGCTTTAGACGAACAATGATAGGTCCCTCTCGTCATAATAGCCTTTGTCTGACTGCTTTTGGCCAAGAGAACTGATTCAAAGGACACCGTTGATGGGGACTATTCATCACCATCCAGTGATATTTCCAAGACCCCAGAAAATAACCCACTTTGTATCTCTGATTTTTCTCTGTCTCCCCCTTATCGTAAGAGTAAATTTTTTGCTTTTTTTATTTTCATTTTTCCTTTCTATATCCCTTAGCCTTAGGCTAGCTAGATACTTGTCTCAATGTTTTTTGTCAAGCTAAGCAAACCTGTATTGCCCTATTAAGGAACCAAAGCTATCATCTTTCCTCGGCAAAGTTTTCAAGATCCAAACAGAAATAAGAAACAAATTGACAACCCCATGTGTATGTGATAGCAATACATGCCAAATTAAGAAACGAATAGGTGCTGTCATAAATACCATAACGCAGAAATGTAATAAATCATAGTTTTATAAGAACAGAAATTTTAGTCAGAGCCCAGAATATCTAGTATCTAGTTAAAAGATTTCGTCCGTTTGTTAGTTTGACTGATCCGGACCAAGACCAAGACCAATGAGTTCCCAATTTGGCTTTCCTTTATTAAATTTTTTTTCTTTTTCTTTTATCCCTTCTTTCACCTCAATAGTAAAGTTATGGTTTTTGTATATGGGCATCCTAAAGGAGGGGGAGGGAGGTTCGACATAAACAATAATCTAAACTGCATTCATTTTTACATGCTCACAAAAGAAAAGATTATTTGAATGCAAATTAATGGCAAGGAGGTAGAAGAAATATTCTTAAGGGTCAGGAGCCTAGGGTCTCATTAAAGTGTGGAACCGATTTTTCTGCAGCCAACCTTGAGAGGGTCTTATCTGCGGTGGGAATCCTGATGATGCTGCAGCAGTTGCTAACAAATGCGGAGGCCCCAGTTGCCATTGTTGTTGCTCCGACATTGATAATGAAAGATCACTTCCAATACGGCCTCCATTGCTGCTGCTGCTGGGAACCTGCATATTTGGAAGAAAAAATATATATATATATATACTCTCTTACTTAATAAACCAAGACTTGAATACTTATTAATTACTAAATGGGTGCTTCTCTCATCCATTTAATGCATGAGCCAAAATATATATTAATTGAAGAGGTATATATACTCACATGAAAATTTGGTAGGTGAAGATGGGCAAAATTGTGAAGCCTTTGAGGCTCTCCAGGTGACCTGTAAGGACCATATCTATGCATTTCATTTGAGGCTGGAGATTGAAGGTGAGTTTGACTTAGCAGCCGCAAGGCTTCACTCTCCCCGTGCCCATCCCTTGGGCTTGCATGGGCTTCCATGTTGCTTCTATTACATGGTTTTGGTAGTATATTCACCAGCTGATCAATGAAATATAATAGGAACCCAAAAAGGTTATTCAGATAGAATTCAATAGAAAATTAAAAACACAAGAGAGTTAATAATGAATCTTATAATATATTACTTGAACCTTATTCTTGCTTCCCCCATTCAGCCAATTGGATTCAGGTGGCATATGCTGATCAGTTGCAACATTTGGGGTGTGATGCCCCAATGCTTGACTGTTGCTATGTTTGGAGCTCGAATTGCCCAAACTCAAATCCAAATTGTGATCTGCAGCGTTACCTGAGGATTCTGCCACCCAATAAAACATTTAATTAATTATGTATGCTAATGTAAATAATAAAATATATAAAACACTTTGATTAAAACGTGACCAGTGAGAACATAAATCTAATAGGTCATTCCTTACCAGAATTAAGCTCATTATCATAGATGCTGGGATCAAAATTGGTGACGGCCTCTTTGCCATTACATTTTATTGCTGCTTTGTCATACGCCCTACAAAATGTGCCAAAAAATTAAAAACCCTAGCATGCATTTATAATTCTTGGCTACTTTTTACAAGGTGGAAATAACAAATTGACAACGTAAGCAAAGCAGATACCTTGCAGCTTCAATCTCGGTGTCAAACAGACCCAGATAAACGTACCTGGCGAATCAAATCAAATTAACCTTAACTGTTACGAAACTGATAAGAATGGCATAACAAAAATAAAATAAAAAAGTAGCAGAAGATAAGCTCGTACTTTTTGCCTAAAAATTGGCCCATTCGAGCTTCCCATCTTCCACACTTATGCAAAGTTACACCTCTATATTTGGAGCTTCCTCTCGGAAATCCAGTGCTTTGTCGGCGAAGTACGTGCACAAACTCTTCCTTGGTTAGATTGCTCATCTATTAACATAACATTAAACCAAATCACGTAACAATATTCAAGATAGAAAAATTAATTAACAAATGTAGAAGGAGATAAGGTATCACAAGACTGTTCAAGATAAGATAAATGCCTTTCAAAAGAATCTCCCTCCCTATCTCTCTCTCTCTCTCTCTCTTTCTAATGACTCTCACCTGCTTCAAGTCTTCATCATAGTCTTGTATGTTGAAGTTTATGTCTGCCTCTACTCCCCGGAACTTAATGGCCGCTCTATCATATGCACTGGGCAAAGAGATGAATACATATTTTACTTGAACCTTATATTTCCCATAACTGAAATGTTATATTGATATCCTTCGAGATATAGAAAAGATATTACAAGCTGGTTAAAGAAGAGTGCTCACCGAGCAGCTGCATGTGCTGTGTCAAATCCACCTACACAAATTTAACCAGACAAAAACATCTCATCAGTTATCCCTTAAAATTCCCCCCAACCCAACAACACTCTCTTGTCTGCCTCCCAAATCATATATATCCAATTGCAAAGTATTATTAAAAGAAGAAAAGAAACCAATTGTTTTCGCCGCTTAAAACAACATATAGGGAAAAATATATGTATCTATATAACTACCGCAGATAAGTTCTTATTGTAATACTTACCCAGATATACCTGTTTTCCACAATCCCTGCAATATCAAGGACAAAGAGAACCAAAAGAATCAAAATTTGAGTGTTAAGAAAATCAATAAATAAATAAATAAATAAAATTGATTTATTAATTTATGGCTTAGATTTTTATGGAATGGAAAACACAAAGCACTAACCATATATGAGACTCCCATCGACCTGTTCTTCTGTAAAAGGTAACTCCCCTATACTGTGAGCTCCGCGACCTTGGTCCTCGCCGGCTTTTCTTCATCGGCTGCGATGCTTCAACTGATTTTCCGGCGCCGAGTGTTTCTGATTGACAAAATTTCACTCCTACCCAGTGAGCTCGAGGGAAGGAAGAGCTTCCACCACCACTAGCACCGCCCTCGGAGGGAACGGTCATCTCAGACTCCTCCAACGGGAAAAACTGCCGGGTGACCGGTAGGTGGTCACTATCCATGGACTCATCATGGGTCACTGAGAACCCGAATATCTTACTGCTTCTTTTCTTCAACGTTTTGCTTCCATCGTCTTCTTCTTCTTCCGATCCATCTTCGATGGCCACTGCAGAGGAGCTTGAATTGGAAACAGATCCGACCCTCTTGCCTTTATCATCATCACAATCGATGGAATTCTTTAAGGAAGAACAGCCTTCAGATTCGTAGTCCTTCCTCTGATCGGGGGAGTCATTCAGATCCCACATTCTTAACCTCCCTTTGCTTTGTTCTTCGTTATTGTTAAAAAAGCGCACAGATTCTTGGCTTCTCAGCTAGATAGAGGGCTAGACCGTCTTATACACAGGCATTAGCGAGAAAGAAAAAAAGAAGACAAAGTAACCCAGATTTCTGATTCCCACTCTCAGGTAAAAGAAAAGAAAAATTAAAGAAGAAAAGAAAAAAAGAAATTATTTTGGCTTGCCTGCAAAAGAAATTTAAACTTTGGGCTCTGTCTTGTTCCCCGTTCAGCTTGCTTTGGTTGTATGTCTCTCTCTCTCTCTCTCTCTCTTTTGTTTGAGAATAAAAAAATGGAGATAAGGAAAAGAGAAGTCGTCGAAGGAGGAGGTTGTGAGTATTGTGAACTGAGAGAAGAAAAGAGAAAAGAAAAGAAAAGAAAAATCAAACCTACGACGAGTGAGAGAGAAAAATAGGTAGGTGTTGCAAAAAGGTAATAAAGAAGGAGATGTTCAAAGATCTTTGTATTCCCCTAACTGCCCAATACAGCATAGACGAGGCCAGTTTCAGTCTCTTTACCACTCCACCATGCTCCTCACTATTCTCTCTCTTTCTTTTATCTCTCTCATCTCATTCATTCATTCACTCACTCACTAAAAAAAAAAGATATTAATTTCTATCTATTTTTGTTTTGCTTTTCCCAGAGGTAAGTCATTCTTGCTTGCGTCTTGCGCCAATCCTCTTATATCTTTTTATGAAATCATTGTACTGTTAATTTTTTATATTTTTTATATATTTTATTTTTGTTTCTATGATGTTTAATGAATGGGTTTAAAATGCAAGTGGTAAAAATGGGGAAAGAAAGAACCATCTCTTTCTTGAACAACTTTCCCACGTTAACCAAATCGAAAAGCATCTCTACGGGCTGTCCTTCTCTCTCGTCTTTCTGGCTACAAATTACCCACTAAAATGGAAATAGACAGCGCAAGGAGTCCAAAAGAAAAGATTATTACTCAAAATTAACTTTTGTTAGCTTCTAATCGTTCGTGATTCCCATCATTACTTACAAGCCACCTCCATCCACGCCTCCAACCATTTTTTATCTTTTTAGGATTATGACTAAGTTTTACCATGTGGGATGCCACAGGGTGTCAAAAGAGGAAAGAAATTAGCGCTTGTGGTCGAGGGTATTTTCGGGAAGAAGATGGAATATTAATTATCGTGACTCTAGACAGTGGCAAGCTATTGAGATAGAAAGTGAGAGTGTGTGTGTGTGTGTGTGTGTTTGGCATCAGAAAAAGGAAATGAGAATAATAGAAGTAAAAGGAAACTCTTTCCAGAAAAGTCCAATCCAAGAGTACGGGAAGAGGGCCACCTTTGCCTCTTTCGTTCGCTAAGTGACCAATGGCCTTCCTACGCTGTACCTCGTATTTATGAGCCTTTCCCACTACGTCACTCTCCTCAAACTGCGCGTGTTTTACCAACACCACTTATACTCTTTTTATTTTGTTTTATGGGTTTTATACACATGACATTCTTAGTGTCATGTTACTCTCACGTGACAAATGGGACCTGCTTTTTTTTTTTTGAGTGGGATCCACATCAAATTAATTAGAGTAACATGATACAAAAAGTGTCCTATAACATAACATATATAAAACCCTTGTTTTATTTGAGAAAAATATTTGTCATTTTAAATGGCATAAAGATATGTCATTTTAAAAGAGAGATAGACACAAGAAAATATTTTTTTATTTAAAATTTAAATAAAAAAAAATCTACTTTCTCTCCCATGATTTTTATTCCTTATGTCTATCTCTCTTAAAATGACATAATATATATCATTTAAAATGACAAACACCAAATACTTTTGTTTTGTTTTATTTTTCTTACAATGAACAAAAATGACAACACAGTTTTGTTTAGAGAGAGAAATTAGATGGAAATCAAGGAATCTCGCAGGAGATCCCACTTCATTTCCTTACTGGCCTGAATGGTTAGTTTTTTACTCCCATGACTTACCTAATTTTTTATGTTAATATTTCAATAACAATAAAAATATTTATTATAAAATAAATAAGGGAAAAGTATTTTTCCTCACTCGAGATAAAGTTATCTCCAGTGAGCTCAAAATGACATCGTTTTGAAATTATAAGATTAAAAAATTATAATGATAAAGACTAATATAACTCTGCAATATATTATAATTACAAAAATATTTTAATTTCCGTCCTAAAAAGACGTCGTTTTGAGTTTATCGAAGATAATTTATCTCCGTTGACTGGAGATATCCTTTGCCCAATAAATAATTGATACAATTTTACAATTTGTCAACGGAAAAGGATATAGTTACCGGTTACCACCATAAAAGCTTATCACCCTTACAACCAATCTAATCATTATTATTTTCGTCAATCTAACGGTTATAATTTATTAGTCATTATTAAGTCATTTTTATTAATTAATTATTAATTTTTAATAAATCTAATAAATTATAACCGTTAAATTAACGAAAATCAACGATAATTAAATTATTTATAAAAATAATAAACATTTTTTGTGGTAAGTATATTCTCTCCTTTGTTCAAAATGTTGTTATGCTAGTATATTTTATTTTTATGATTTTTTTATTTAATGAAGAGTCATTTCAGTTTTTACCCATTTTACATTATGTTAAAAAAAATGAATTCAACATAAATAAAATTGTTTTTATTAAAATTAAAATTTTAAAGAGTCACCGTGAAAACAAAGGGTAGAATGAACTTGAAATTTTAGAGGGAGGTGAGAAATAATTGAGAGATAAGATAATGAAAATGTGTTTACCAAAAAAAAAAAATACTCAAGAAGACAGAGAGGGTAGACTACTAGAGAATAGATATGTGGTGTCATTGCTGCACCACAGATTTAGTGCATTCCACTAATAAAAATATTACATGTCAGTCAATATTTTTTCCTCTCTATCAAATTCTTTCTCTATCCTTTGATGTGTAATAAGTCTATTGATGAGATACACTGAATCTAGATACAACACATACGGCTCGCACATGTACAAGTTAAGGGATTTTTTCATGAATCGACTACAAATAGTTTGGACTCGAGTGTAAGCTGTAATTATTAGGGGGGACGATATGCATTTTATCCAAATCGTTTTTTTTTTTTTTTTTTTTTTTTTGATATCATATCCAAATCGTTTTATATCATATTACCATGTGTTATTTTTCTAATATAAATAAAAGTTTAAGCTAAAGTTGCGCTAGTGATAAGAAGGTTATAGATTTAAGTTTAGAAAATAATTTCTTAAGTATAAAGATAAGTTGCGTAGAATCGACTCTCATTCATATTATTGTAAGTCGTAGAATTTTGTGTACCATAAATTATCCAATTTTTTTCTTGAATATATTGTTGGGAAAACTCGGTTCCCTCAAGCTCGGCTCATGAGCCTTTGTGCGGAAGTCAATCAACAAGATTCTGATCTCGGATCTCAGCAATACCTCAGCCTGAACTTCACCAGGTCAGGCAGCGCAGCGGAAAAATCAAAACGTAAACACAGGAGAGAGAGAGAGAGAAGAAGAAGAACACAACCAGATTTAACGTGGGAAAACCTTCTTGAATAAAGAAGTAAAAACCCACGGGACCTAGTCCAGATCAAAAATCCACTATGAAAATAATGGTTACAAAGAATCAAATACACCAATGTGGTGGTTAACTCAACCTTTCCAACAATGGTGATAATCAAACTACCCTAGAGATTTTCACTCAAACTCTATCTCTAGAGATCTTTCAAATTTGTTCTCTCAAATCTGACCTAACCTCCACCCACAACTAATGAGTATATATAGAGGAGGTGGAAATTAGGGTTAGGGTTTTTAGGAAACCCTTCAAATGGGCTTGTGCTTAGCATTGAAGGAGGAAGCCCAACAAATCTCCCCCTCCGACTTCAATGCGTCGGCTTCAGCATCAATCTGGCTCCTTCACAGCAGTCTTCAAATTTTCTTGTTGGAACCGGCTTTGTCATCATGTCGGACCAATTTTGGTCAATGTGCACCTTGACTAGTTCAAGCTCACCACCTTCCACCATATCCCAGATCCAGTGATACCTCACATCAATATGCTTAGTGCGGGAGTGATAGGTCGAATTCTTCGCAAGATGGATTGCGCTTTGATTGTCACAACCCAGCTCGTACTTGTCTTGATCATGGCCGAGTTCTATGAGGAACTTCTTCATCCACAACATCTCTTTGCTTGCCTCAGTAGCGGCAATGTACTCAGCCTCAGTTGTTGATAGTGCAACACATTTCTGAAGTCTTGATTGCCAAGAGACAGCTCCTCCGGCAAATCTCATCAAATATCCTGTAGTCGACTTCCTCGAGTCGGCGTCTCCCCCTAAATCAGAATCCGAGTAGCCTTGCAACTCGGCTTTGCCTTCTCCAAAACGGAGACATAAGTCGGTCGTACCTCGGAGGTACTTGAAGATCCACTTCACTGCTTCCCAGTGCTCTTTGCCGGGGTTTGACAAATACCGGCTTACCATTCCAACAGCATACGCCAAGTCGGGTCTAGTGCAAACCATTGCATACATCAAGCTTCCGACGGCAGATTGGTACAGGACCTTCATCATCTTATCTTTGTCTTCATCAGATCTCGGACATTGCTTCTGGTTCAGCTTTATGTGTCCGGCAAGGGGGGTGCTCACTGTTTTGGCTTTGTCCATGCTGAATGTCTTCAAAATCTTCTCAATATATTTCTCTTGACTCAGCCACAGTAGCTTCTTCTGTCTATCTCGGATAATTTTTATTTCGAGAATCTGCTTTGCAGGGACGAGGTCCTTCATTGCGAAGGACGAGCTCAACGCCTTCTTCAGGGCGGCTATCCTCGATTTATATTTCCCTACAATAAGCATGTCGTCAACATATAACAACAAAATCGGAAAATCTCCGGCCTCATACCTCTTCACAAATATGCAGTGGTCAGCTTCAGTCTTCTCAAACTTATGATCAATCATGAATGATTCAAACTTCTTGTACCACTGCCGAGGTGCTTGCTTCAAGCCATAGAGACTCTTCTTCAACCGACATACCAAGTCTTCTTGGTTTGGAGCTTGAAATCCTTCAGGTTGCTCCATATATATTTCTTCTTCTAAATCACCGTGAAGAAATGCCGTCTTCACGTCCATTTGTTCTACCTCGAGGTCCATCGAAGCCGCCATGGCTAACACGGTTCGGACCGAGGTCATTTTCACAACAGGAGAAAAAATCTCCTCAAAATCAACTCCTTTCTTCTGATTGCAGCCTTTCACTACAATCCGGGCTTTGTATCTCGATTTCTGCCCGTTCTCTTCATTCTTGATCTTGTAGACCCATTTGTTTTTCAGAGCTCGTCTTCCTTTTGGCAACTCAGTCAGCTCATAAGTCTGATTCTTGTGCAGAGACTTCATCTCGTCTTGCATTGCCTTTTCCCATTCTTCTTTCTCTGAGCTCGTCACAGCCTCATCATAACTCTGAGGCTCACCGTCTTCAGCAACAACGGTGTATTTGTCAGATAGGTATCTTGTAGAGGGTCTTCTTTCTCAAGTTGGATATCTCGGCTGTTCTTCAGCTTGAGAACCCGGTTCATCATTCT